TGAAGTAAACACTGTTTCTTTTTAAAGTGAATATTATCAAGTGAATTATTCACTTCAAGAAAGAGAAGTGTTCACTTCTTGTAAAAAGAGTGCTTTCTGAGAAATATATAGATCCTAACTTGGCGGGCCAAATACAAAATTCAATTCTCCTATTTAAAGTTTGAAAAAATTATTTGATAAAAATTATTTTTAATTAAAGTTAATTTTATATTTATATATATTTAATTAAAACTGTTGTTGATATTAAGGTTAAATAAAAAATAATAATAAATATTTAATTAAAAATATTTTTCAAATTAAAATTATAAAATAACTAAACAAGATATATATTGGTATTGATAATTTTTAATTTAAATATCATAAATTTAATTATTATTATTACATCATTAAATAAATAATATTTTATATCTAATAATTTTTATTATTCAATTAACTTATTTATAATTTCATCATGTATGGAATTTATATGATAAGGATTATAGTTTTTATGGTTTTTTGAGCGTTCAATAAAATCAAGTAAAATATCATCAAAAATAAAATTAGAATTGCGATCAAATTTTATAAATGCTATGTCATCATACAATATTATTCTAATTTATACAATGTTATTAAATAATATTAAATACTAGTTTTTTGAGTAAAGTATAATTTCAATAAAATTTTTTTTATTGGGTCGGACATGATCCAATTTTTTTTACTATTCATATGAATAATGTCAGGTGAATGCTTACCATGCGAGTTATATAATTCGTTTGCACACTCTCCCATCAAATGGAGGTTCGAGGAAAAAATTCACAGGCCACACCAAACAATAAATTGCTCTTTTTATATTACAAAAAACCTAATTTAAGTAATTTGTTTTAAAAGCTAAAGCTATCATATAAACCCATCTTTAATCCACTTAAAAGTGGAAGTTAAATTCTCACAAATATTATTTGCACATATTTCTTAAAAAAAATCAAAACTAATAATATACAACCAACAAAATAATAAACCAATTAAATATAGCTATATAGGGAAAAAGAACATCCAAATCATTAAAAAAATAAAATATTTATTTATTCCATTATAATATAATTAGTTTTTTAAATAATTTTTTTTTGCATTAGAGTACCTAACCGTATACAATAAAAAATATTATATTTATTTAAAATATTATTTTATCTATTTATCTTTTTAGAAGGTGTTTGAGAACGTAGTGAATCATGCTTTTTAAAAATTATTTTTTTATTAAAAATATCTTTTTAAAAATAATTTTTTTATATATATTTTGAGTTATTTTGGTGTGTTAATGTTAAAATATTTTTTTATAAAACAAATTATTGTAATATATTTTATCATAAAAAATATTTTAAAAATCAACCTTAACCCTATTTTAAAATAAATAACTAAAATAGCATAATGGAGGTGTTATTACACCAAAGAGCATCCCATTTCACCCACCTCTCAATTATCCATTGTCCAGAGCCTGGACTCTGCAAGGCCTTGCCCCTATCCATTTCTATTGGAACTCGCAAAACTAGCTCTCTCTTGCACATTAATGGATTCCGTGACATTTAATTAAGCCTCGAACAAGTTGATACTGCGTTTTTCGGCCCAAGACTGGTGGCGTTATCATCAACAGGGCATGGCATATTTATAGTCCACTGAGACGAATCAGGCTAGTAATGATTAAGAGGGATCAAAACTAGGTTGAGATTAATAAATTGCGCAAGGCAGAACGAGCATTGATGCTACCTCATTCAAGCTCCTCCTCGACCCACATTTCACAGTGTCTTTACACACACACACACTGGTAAACCATTTTCAGGCGGACAGAGAGGAATGAGAAAAGCAAAATGAGGTGAAAGCAGCAAAAATGAAAGTAAATAGAGTGATTCTGATTGTTTTAGCACTTCTTTTGATAACCCAATCGCTCTCGGAAGCCATACCTCGCCTCAAACACCAAGAAATTACTAAAGGCAAAGATAGAGAAGAGAAGAGAAGCAGTAGTGGAAGCAGTGGCAGAAGTCGCAGAGGTGGTAGTAGACGGAGCAGAAGTGGTGGAAGAAGATCAAGGGGATCATCCAACTGTGACCCATTATTTCAGTACCTATTTGGAACCTGTGGCCAATGGCCTTTCCCAACTTCCCCCTCACCAAACAATCCATTTCAGCCCTCACCAAGACCCTCCCCTCCTAGGAGGAGAGCTCCACCATTGCCTCCTCAAGTGCCTTCTCCTCCTCCACTCCCCCTTGTCCCGTCTGCACCACCAACAGTGCAACCTCCAGTAGTACCATCACCACCTCCCGCAGTCCCATACCCGCCACCCTTTGTTGAGTCCCCACCACCTTCTTCACCGCCACCAGTGTCACCACCTTCTCCACCGCCACCACCATCTCCACCTCCACCAGTGTCGCCACCTTCTTCACCGCCACCCCCATCTCCACCTCCACCAGTGTCACCACCTTCTTCACCACCACCCCCACCACCACTGGCTCCTTCTCCACCACCACCACTGGCTCCTTCTCCAGCACCATTAGTATTCCCACCACCTCCACTAGTCCCTTCACCACCACCACCACCCGAAGTGACACCATCACCATTAAATCCATGGCTATTACCTCCACCTGAATTCACACCTCCGCCACCACTAGTCCCTATATTTGATCCACCAACAGAGCCAGACGTCCCACCAGATGATGGGTTTACACCAGCACCGCCATTAGTTCCAATATTTGACCCACCAACAGCACCAGATATGCCATCACCAGATGATGAGTTTACACCATCACCACCATTAATCCCAATATTTTTCCCACCAAGCACCGATCAACCAAATTTGCCACCGGATGAATTTGCACTACCACCACCATTGCCCTCATTTAATCCACCACCAGAGCAAGATTCGCCACCCGCTGATGAGGTGACACCAGCACCCTTTCTACCAATACTAACACCACCACCACCCGAAGAAGACTTGCCACCATTTCTACCACTTATAGGATCACCACCAACTGATGTGTTTACACCAACTCCTTTAGTCCCTATGTTTTCCCCCCCAGTACCTGACGATCAGCCTCCACAATTTCCTTTACTGCCACCAAAAGAGCCATTTACATTCACTCCACCTATAGAATCAACCACCCCAATTGCACCTGACCTTTATTTCCCACCACCTTTAGTGCCTGAAATACCAGATAATCCACAGTAGCCACTGCCATTTTCTAATTACGTGCCGCCAGCACCAGATGCTGCATAAAATCTCCACCCAGTTCAGCATCTGCAACCGCCAAATGCTCTTCCACTGAAGAGCTGAGTGCTTCTTTTTTTTCTTTATACTAGAATTGATATGTAAAAAAAATAAATAAGCAGAAAATAGTTAGTACTGATGACGAAAAATTAGAGAAAGTTTGTCTTCTAAATTCGAGTCATCGAGTGTTTGAAAAAAATCAATGAGATCACATGTTATTAAGAATCTGCACTTCCACGTCCATGATTGCATTATTTTTAATTATTATTATTATTATTATTGTTATTATCAGGAGAGGTAATATTAGAATTCGGAATTTTCTACAAACAAATTAATTTGTGCCCTGAAAGCAAATCCGAGCCAGCTATAACGACAGACGACCATGGCAAGGCTCGTGACATCAGTCCAAAAAGTTCTGATTTTTCAATACTGTTTATTTATCATCGGTTTTGAATTCCCATCGAGACTCCCTCCCAATAAAATAAAAAATGATCGTTGTAAATTATCTAGACAATGACCATGATAAGGAATTAAAATTAAGGAGTTTGTTCTTTTTTAGTCTTAAATTTGAGTTTTTAGTTATTTATATGATAGTAACTGGAGGCTTATATGGTCGTTAACTTCAGAATTTATGGGATTAGTCGTGATACGTGTAAGCTAATCTGGACACCCATATTAATCTAAAAAAATAATCGACTGTTTTATTAACCTGGCAAATCATTCTGAAATAAATAAATAAGCTTAATTAAGTAAATGGGGTTGAGGTGGTAAGAAGTCGAAGGGTTATTCTATGAAAAAAAAACATAGGGATTGAATCCGACATTTGTATTTTTTTTAAATAAAATCTAAGACACAATATCTTCAAGACATGACGTGCATCATTGAAAATCTACCGATGAGAAGATACATAGTTTTGTTTAACAGGTAACCTGATCTACGATAAAAATACTCTTCATTGACCAATTGAAATGAAATAGATAAAACAAACCCTCGCAGCAATCCCAGCGTTTATACCATTTTAGCAGATTACTTCTTGTGTTTATATTAAACTACGAACCCTAATTTAAAATTAAGATACCCAATTTATTAATTTCAGTACTTAATCTCAGGGCTTTGATTTAATTTATTGGAGATGGCATGACGCATTTTTTTTTTAAAAAATCAGCATCATAAATTAAAAATAATGACAGAATAATACAATTTTAAAAATATAAAACATGATAATCCCATCATGTCACAAAATTTAATTTTTTTGCTAGTATCTTAATAATTATTATGGTTTCAAAACATAACAATTATTTAATATCATGTTTTTTAATCATGACTTTTTACATAATACATTTTTAAAACAGTGATCAATGACAATTATGTTATTTCTCGGTAAAGATTTGTTGTGTATTATTTCACTAATATTTTAGATTTTATGTGCTAAAAGCACAAGATTTCTCCCACCAAGAAAAAATCTGTTTGGAAACATGATTAAAATTGTATTAATTATTTTTTTATATTCACAAACAAATTAATTTGTGGCCTGAAAGCAAATCCGAGCCAGCTATAACTACAGACGACCATGACAAGGCTCGTGACATCAGTCCAGAAAGTTCTGATTTTTTAATACTGTTTATTTATCATCGGTTTTGAATTCCCATCGAGACCCCCTCCCAGTAAAATAAAAAAATGGTCGTTTTTATATAATTATCGTTAAAAATATACCTTGTTAATTTCAAAATTTATGAAATTAGTTTTTCAATTTATATAATTATTAATTTTAACATCTATAAAATTAATTATAATACATATAAACTAGTCTGGATATTCATATTAATAAAAAAAAAAAAAGTCATTCTATTGTCTGTTCACTTTCAAACAATACTGTTTTATTAACTTGGCAAATCATTCTAAAATAAATAAATAAGCTTAATTAAGTCAATGGGGTTGAGGTGGTAAGAAGTCAAAGGGTTATTCTATGAATAAAAAACATAGGGATTGAATCCGAATTTGTATTTTTTTAAAATAAAATCTAAGACACAATATCTTCAAGACATGACGTGCATCATTGAAAATCTACCGATGAGAAGATACATAGTTTTGTTTAACAGGTAACCTGATCTACGATAAAAATACTCTTCATTGACCAATTGAAATGAAATAGATAAAACAAACCCTCGCAGCAATCCCAGCGTTTATACCATTTTAGCAGATTACTTCTTGTGTTTATATTAAACTACGAACCCTAATTTAAAATTAAGATACCCAATTTATTAATTTCAGTACTTAATCTCAGGGCTTTGATTTAATTTATTGGAGATGGCATGACGCATTTTTTTTTTAAAAAATCAGCATCATAAATTAAAAATAATGCCAGAATAATACAATTTTAAAAAGATAAAACATGATAACCCCAACATGTTGCAAAATTTAATTTTTTCGCTAGTATTTTAATAATTATTATGGTTTCAAAACATACTAATTATTTAATATCATGTTTTTTAATCATGACTTTTTACATAATACATTTTTAAAACAGTGATCAATAACAATTATGTTATTTCTCGGTAAAGATTTGTAGTGTATTATTTCACTAATATTTTAGATTTTATGTGCTAAAAGCACAAGATTTCTCCCACCAGGAAGAAAAAATCTATTTGGAAACATGGTTAAAATTGTATTAATTATTTTTTTATATTTTTTAATTGTTTTAATGTGTTGATTTTAAAAATAATTTTTTAAAAATAAAAATTTTAAATCGCAATTGCTGTTATAATTACAAACGAAAAAAATGGTGGTGCTGGTGTTGATTAAGATGCTGATGAAAGTAGTGCTGGTATGTGTAGCTGACAGAACAACAAAAAGGGTATCTCTTTTCCCAACTCCATCGTGAAAAAAGAAACTCCAGACCACCCTGTTGCTTGGGTTTGTGGTTTTGGGTGCAATTGATTGTGTAGATGGTGCTCACCGGTGGTGTCAGCGAATTAAAGGTGGTACTGCGGCGGAGGGTGGCGGTCACTGGGAATTATGTGTTTAAAAAGAAGGATTTCCAATGAATTGCTGAAGCAGGAGCATGTTGTTGCTTGTGCTGCAATATTTGCTTGGTTTTCTAGCGCTCGCAGTAGCGGAGGTCGTATCTTCCTGATTAACTGTATACGTTTATTGATTCGTTAACAAAGAGATTGCCGATGGCATTTTCTACAAAAGTGAGCATGCTTGGTAGCCTGATGAAATTTTAGCATTCCAGCAATTGTCTACGTGATATCTTCATACAAAGTGTTTTTTTTTTAATATATATTTGCAAAAATATATTAAAATATTTTTTATATCAGCATATTAAAATTATTAAAAAAATGGTGTTTTTTTTTTAAATATATATTTGTAAAAATATATTAAAATATTTTTTTATTTTTTATATCAGCATATTAAAATTATTAAAAAAATATCAATTTAAATATCTTGAAAATATATATTAAAGTAATTCGTACTGTAAAAATAAATGGTAATTACATCCATGAAGGAGCTATTTGGGAACAAATTGTATTTTTTAAATTATTTTTTTATAAAATATTATTTTTAAATTATTTTGGTATGTTGATATCATAAATTATCTTTAAAAATAAAAAAATTTTTAAATATTTTTAAATTATTTTGGTACGTTGCTATCATAAATTATCTTTAAAAATAAAAAAAATATTTTGATATAATTTTAAATAAAAAAATTTAAAAAAACTTTAAACACCCATAAACTAAAGGAAAAAATTACAAGGCTAAAAACAATGAATATAAAAGGGTAGGTTGTAGATTTTTTTTTTAAAAAAAAAAAGAGGGAGGAAAAGAATGGTGTCAATTAATAATATTTTATTTATAAAAATATTTTGAATGTTAAAATAATTATAATAGCAAACTTATAATATTTTTATTTTTTATTGAGTTTGTAAATATCTGACTTATCATGCAAAGTAAAATAACTATATAAAAATAGAATTTAAAATAGAGTTTTTTAAAACATAAAAAGAAAGTGTTAAGGTGTTTAAAATACAAAATGCTTTTAATTAAAAAGAGAGAGAAAGAAAAGGAGCGGAGGGCTGAAGGACCTTTTCGAATTTGAAAAAAAAGAAAAGGGTTAATCGTTCTTGAAGCTCAATTATATCTTCTGAAGAGGGAAGCTCACTGATTCTCTCCTCCAGCAACTTTCCTTTCAAGTCACTATCTCTCGTTTTCTTCTTCTCTCATCCCAATTTCCAACTCTCAAATCAACACAAGGAAAATGAGAGATCGATCCACTGAATTACCACCAGAATGCTGGGAATTGATTTTCAATTTCCTTGACCACCACCGTCACTTCGAATCCCTCTCTCTAGTCTCCACCCAATTCCTCTCAATCACCAATCACCTCCGTCGTTCCTTAATAATCTCCTCCCAAACATTCCCTTTCCTTCCAAATCTTTTCCAAAGATTCCCAAATCTCAAAGGAATTGAAATCCGCGAGTTCGATGGAGACCTCAATTTCCTTCTCCATCAAATCTCCAATTCAGGGTTGGACCTTGAATCCCTTACTCTCTCTAGCCAAGACCACTTTCCCTTGATGGGTTTGAGGGAGTTGGGGCTGAGAATGAGAAATTTGAGGAAATTGAGTTGCTCGGAAATGAATTGTTTACAAGATACTCATCTTTTTGAAATTGGGAATTCGTTTCCATTGCTTGAAGATCTTAATATTAGCTTTCCGCAATATAATTCACGATTTGATCCAATTGGGTCCTTGGATCTGCAGCGTTTTTCAGGGATTGTAACTGATGAAGGGATCATTCACTTGTCAATGAAGCTCAAGAGTTTGCTTAAGATTGATCTTTCTGGTAACCAATTCATTTCTGATAAATCACTTCAGTTTTTATCGGAGAATTGTTTGTTGTTAAGGGAAATAGTGATTCGTGAGTGTGATTTTATAACCCAGAATGGAATTGGTTCGGTTATGCGTAGATG